CATCATCGTCATCATTTGTGACGTCATTTTTACCGTTGTTTCTATCATCACCACCACCATCATCATCATCGTGTACGACTTCGTCATCATCATCATCATCAGCAGCAGCAGCTGAACCACCAATTCCAACGGTATTATTATCATCATCAACCGTGACATCACCATCATCTGTAGAAACAATAGCAGCAATAACAACATCAACTCGAAAAAATTTTTTTGAAATAAATAATAATAATAAGGATAATTATTATGTCGAATATAATAATGACATTGATGATGATGACGACGATGATGATGATGACAAAGTTAATACCACCATCACTAATGATGATGCCGATTATGATGATGATGATGATGATGATGAGTATGATGATGATGATGATGATGATGATGATGATGATTGTGGTGGTGGTGTTGATAGTGATGACAACGACGACAATATCTTGCATAATGGTAGAAACAAAGATGGCCATCTTTACAAAAAACATGATGCTACTACTACTACTACTACTACTACTACTAATAATAATAATAATAATATTAACCATAATAGAAATAATAATGGTGATAATTATTTGGATGAAATTGTAGAGAGATGTAAGACAATGAGAATAAGCAGTCCTTTGCATCAGCAACATCAAAAAAATTCCCTTATCAGCAGCAACAACAACAGCATCAACAATAACATCATTAGCAATAACAACACCAACATCATCAACAACAACAACAGCGTCAGCAACTACAATGAAGACAACAAAACATTCAACAAGTTATTACCGGCTAAATCTAGGTTTTTCAATACGAGTTTTGCCGGCAGTACAACTGTTACTGCTGCTACTACAACTGCTACTAATACTTTTACTACTACTACTACTACTGCTGCTGCTGCTTCTGCTGCGACAACAACGGCCACACATCAACTCTCTCAACTCCAACAACAACGCTCGTTGGATGGTTACAGTAACAGTAGTAGTAGTAAGTATGGAAATGCTTTGAATCCTTACCAGCTTAATAAAAGTTTTACGTCTTATATGAAACAACCCAACTGCGATGACGGTGTTGTTGTAGCTGCTGCTGCTACTACTGTTGCTGCTGCTGCTTCTGGCAGCTACAAACCCAGCAGCAACAGTTATTATTGTAACAGCAACATTGAGAGAAACGTCCATGAGCAGCAACAACCAAACAAAGTTATTGGGAAGATGAAGTATTCCCAGTTTGATTCAAGTCAGCCAAAGTTGATAAAAGTGCAACTGAAACAACAACACTCTCAACAACAACAACACTCTCAACAACAACAACAACAACAACAAAACAATAGCAACAGCAAGAACGACAACTCTGACAACTGTCACAACTTCACAAATGATATCCACACAAACAAAAAATCTTCCAACATCAACACTAACGACATCGCGAATGACATAATCAACAACAACAACAGCAACAACAAATCGATCAACAATGTGGATGTTGATGTTGTCGCTACTGACGAAACAACGACAAAATCAACTTTCAAATCCAGGCTTCCTACGCTCTTTAAAACAAAGAAATCAACAAAATCATAAATTTTGAAGAGAATTTTTTGTCTATTTATTTTTATTTCGTTTATTTTTCTACAATTCCTTTTTATTAATTGCATGAATTATGCTAATTACTAGCTATAATTAGCAATTATTCTAATTAATTAGCATAATAATTAATTATAACGAATAGGATATTGTTTAAGCTTTCTTTCATTTTGATCTAATTTTGGAATTGAATTTTTTTAACCGATTCTGGAAAATGTTATTTATTTTAAAAAAATTTTCATTTCTTTCCCTGAAAATCATTTTGAGATATTGTTTTTTAAAGGATGAATATATATGTATCAATGAACAATCATCTGTAATACTGAAGAAATGCTAATGATGTGAGTAAAATCACATAATTTTTCTTTCTCAGTATGTCGTAAAACATATGAAAATAAATATACTTCCATATGAAAAACATTTAAATTGACTGAATTTAAGAGTTTTTTTTAAGTATTTTGTCATTTAGTAGTGATAATAAGGTAAAATTATGATACAAAAGCTGAAAATATTTTTCTGTATGTTTTAAAAACACAAAGATAAAGTAATTTTACTATGTAAGACGTCTAAATTGACAGTGCGGTAGTGTGTGTGTCATCTTTCATGTGGCACTATCTATAGTAATAATTATTATTATGCTAATTATTAATAATAATAATAAATGATATGTAATCTCAATGGTTTGCTGTTGGTGAATGGTTGAAATGATGAAATCTGGACATCTTTGTAAAAATATTTTTAATGGTAATTGCCATTGGTAATAATATATATATATATATATATATATATATATATATATATATATATATATATGCAATGCATACATATATATATATATATACATACATATATATCTATGTATTTATATAGCTGGTTGTTTATGCAAAGAATTTTTTGGCCATCAGACTATAGTTGTAAGATATTATTATTAT